GAAGGTTTTGTTTTCTTTATGTTCAGGTGTAATTTACAATGAAAGCTGTAGTCTTTGACCTTCATCAGTGCTTCAAGTCCTCTTTCTACAAGTAAGGCTTCTCACAGGTTATTAATGAATCGTCCTCCAGCCCTGAATTTGTGTTCTTCTTACAGTCCAGTTCAGCATACAGATTGAGTAAGTATGGTGAAAGGATACAACCCTGATACACTGTTTCTGATTTTAAACCACAGTATTCCCTTGGTCTGTTCAAAGGACTACCTTTTGGTCTGTGGACAGGTTCCCCATAAGCACAATGAAGTGTTCTTGAATGCCAATTCTTTGCAATGTCATCCATAATTTGTTATTAAAAAGCAACTAACATTTATTACTGTAATCATAGTAACATGATTGCAGCCACTTACTAGGTGGCTACACTAGGCGTGTCTCAGTCATAACCTCATATATTTTTCTCAACAACCCTACATGGTAGGCTCTGTTTTCATTCATTTTACAGATAAAAGTCTGACTATTCCAAGTCACACAGCTAAGAAAGCAACAGAGTCACATCTGAGTCCAGACACTCTAGTTCCTGAGCCCAGATGAGATTTTATAATGTGACCATTCATTTCCCATCAAGATAGCTATGGGACATTTAAATGGATGGAAGCTATAGGAGAGTATTGAGATGGACATATTTTACTGACACAAAGGTCTGTAAGGGGAGTCCTGGTGTGACCTAGAATCAGCATGGTCGCTTGTTCAATCCCACCAGAAGCTCCTCAGAAACCCTATACAGGGTCGCTATGGGTCGGAACCGACTTGACAGCACTTAACAATAACAACATAGTCATTTGCAGTGGGGACGAGCTGTGTTTGGTGGTTCCTCTGGATTCATGAGAACATAATCTTGCTGCATGTGAAAACTCTCTCAGTGGAACTAAATCTTTCAGACAGAATGGAGCTCAGAAAAGTAGGACTTGGAGTCTAACCCAGCAAGTCAGGCCAGCATGAGGCACCCTGGCCTGCGGCAGAGAGCTGAGTCTCGTAAGGTCCAGCTGTTTCAGATGTGGGCATCTATTTGATCTCTGTGACTTCAACCAATTCCTGAGGACACTAAAGGAAAGAATCTCTAACAGGTTTCTTTCTATTTGAGAATTTTATATTTTAAGTGTCTTTTTAATAATGTCTAACAAAGCAGGTTTGTTAAGAGTTCTGGTGTAGTGCTGTGGGTTAATGTGCTGGACTGCAAAGTTGGTCTGAACCACAAGGTCAGCGGTTCGAGCTCACCAGCTGCTCTTTGGAAACCCTATACAAGGTCACTATGGGTCAGAACCAACTTGACGGCGCTTAGCAACAACAACAAAGCAGGGGACAAACACTTCTCAGTTGGCACAAAAGAATGGTCTAAGCCCACAGCTCTGGCTGCCGGTTTAAGTCCAGAATCATCATCACAAGGGGAAGAATGGGTTTCATCTGGGCAAGATGGAGTGAGTCAGCAAACAGGCCAGGGATTCAGTGGATTCTCAGAAAAGCCCCTACAGAAGGCTGTGTTCTGTGCATGAGACACCACTCCGTCTCCCTGCTCATGTGCCGAGTCAGGCAAGTAGACTCCATGGGATGCCCTAGGCAGCTCATGTTGCCCTCCTGCTTGACCACCATCAGTGACTCCGCTGACAACAGACCTCTTCAGTTTTCAAAGCTCTCCTCTACCTGTCTTCCCCGGTGTATCTATCATGGTTCCTCTTATGGCACAGCGGAAAGAACATGCTCATGAACACCCCAGTTTCAATCCCAGCTCCTCCACTTTCTGGTAGGGTAACTCTGGAGAAGCTGGGTGTCTCACTTTGCTCATCTATGAAATGGGAATAAAGATAATTACCTCACAGGGACTCTGAGGGAGTCACCCAGCACTCCCACAGTAGGGACCTGGCCTCACTTATTTTGCTCCTCACCTCTCTAACTGATCTGCATCTCATTAAACGGCTACTTTTCCCATGTACCTGCCGTTCTTGTCTCTGCAGGTTTGAATCTCATTAGGGCCTCCAATTTTTCACAAAGACACCTGCTCTCATCAAGTACTCCTTGAGAACCTCTCTCATTTGACATTCTAAAGAACTGACTCCTTCTAATCCTTGTGAAGTGTCTCAAGACCATTATAAGCTATGGGCCTCTCTGTTTGCCTGGTCTAAATCTATAGCATTTAGCCGAGTACTCAGACCTTGGTACTTAACAAGCATGTGTCGAATGAACAAGCGCATGAGCACAGAACCAAAAAGCAGCTTCTATTGTGCTTGTTTTAATAAAGACTTTAGTCACTCTCTAAGGGAACACACCAGTCAGAGAAGGAAACAGCCAGACTCAGAAGGTGGTTTGCGTGCTATAAGGTGAGAGAAAGCCCCTGCCCTCCACGGGAGCTGGGCAAGTTATGAGGGGAGAGCAGCGGGGACAGCGCAAGTGACAGAAGCCCAGACATAGTGCCAACCTGCAGAAAGGGAGCACGCCCTGTGCGTCGAATCAGACTTTTGGGATAAAAGAAATCGGATGAAGAGCCGCGAAGGTTTAGTGGCTGCCATGAAACATGAAAAGAAGGGAAGAGTGAATGACGAAATATCCTCAGTTCAGAAACACTATTAAAAAAAAAAAATTAAAACCTAATTGTTTAAAACTAACTTTATAGTAAATGCAAAGTGGCCCCAGTTTAGTAGATGTTGTGTGTGGGTTGGTCAATTCTTGGTTCCTGTTTAAAAGCGATTCATGTATCTTTGAGTTATAGTATCTGTATCTTTGCCCCAATCCCCATGATTCCTATTTGGGCTGAGATCTTATAGTATCTGACGAGCAAGAAGCCAGTGAAGCTGACTGAAGAGACATCCTTAAGGATCTGTTGCTAAAGCTCCTGCCCATGAGCTCTTCAGTATCAAGCACGTGGATTACTCGGTGGAGTTGCTGATTCTTAAAACATTTTCATTTTGCTATGGAAACTGTACTAGTGTGACACCCAGAGAAAGGGCTGGAAATCCTGGCTCAAAATCTGTGAACTGTAGATACACCCTGAAGAGAGCACAAGATTCCCTTCCTATATTCAAAACCTATAAATCCCACCGATGCCGGTCAGCACATGCCCCCGACTCGGGGCATACATATCTGGACCTCTTCCCTCAGAGGGGCAGCCCCTTCTTTACAATTGGCTTTTCTCAAAACGAGCCCAAGGGCTGGCCTGACCTCCCAAGGAGTTCATGTTGGGTTTAGGAGGTCCTGGAATTCTCTGGAAAGCTTCCATAAAGGAAAAAAATAATAACTCCTCCTGGCCAAAAGGAGTGCAAGGATTTCATAGCTGTTTTTGTGAGCCCATCCAGAAAGTCCCACCAAGATGCTATTAGGAATATTGATGCTTTAAAAAAAAAAAGTCATATGAGAAACTTGAACTGCACATTCAAATATCCTTCCAGAGGGGGCATGGGAATCACATTCCATTCAGCCTTGCCTCATTACGTAGCCATCTCTTTGTTCCCCTGAAGACTTCATCAGAGATGAAGTAAAAAACATTCTTTAAAAACCAAAAACAACACTGAAGAGAGACTGCAAACCACCAGCTACTTGGGTGGTTTCTGGGCAGCACCCCCAAGCCATGCTTCGACTTTTACATTTTTATGATTAAAAAGTGCCAATAAACACTAACTTTAATGTTCTAGTATTTTGTAAAGAGAATCCATTTCCCAAGAACCCGTGGAGCCTCAAAAACACCGGAATCTAGGGCCCAAACATGGGCCAGGGTCCCCGTGCACACCTGCCTGGTACATGAACTTCAGGTAAATGTTAGAAGGAAACTAAAACCATCCTAACATCGGTGCACCATTTCTTCTCTCCAGTCTGTTTAAACTTGACGATCCTGAGAAAAGTGGCTTTACCCCACTTAAATTAGGCTTTTATATAGTAAGTGTGAACTCTAAGACAATTGTTTTCCTTCAAAATCACAGAAAAGGCATAGCTGTCTGAAACGTCTACATGGAAAAATGTCTTCATTTGATTTTAAAGTGGAAAAAAACTCCCGTGTGTATGTTTACTGCTTGAAGGAGAGTAAAGAAAAGGTACCGGAAATAAGAGCTGAAGTCCCCAGGATGGCAGACTAGGGAACCTGGGACAGTCAGAGCAGATGCATTTCACTGGTAATTGTTTCTCTGAAGTCAAGACCCACAAATAGAAGCCACTTATTAGTGATGACCACCACTCATCTGTCAGTGTGGTGGACTGTGCATTGTTAGGGTCCTGGAGACTCTGCCACTGTGGAGAACAGGTTTCAGCAGAACTTTCAGACTAAGACAGACGAGGAAGAAGGAATTGGAGGCCCACTGGCTGGTGCTGGGGCTACTCCCTGTGTGGCGCTGGAGGATGAGCACTGGGCTGTGAACCACAAGGTTGGCAGTTCAAAGCCCCCAGCAGCTCCTCGGAAACCCTATACAGGGTCACTATGAGTGGAAACAAACATGAAGGCACTTAACAACAAACGCATAATGGAGCCCTGGGGTGGCACTGTAGGATAAGCACTATATTAGTCTTAGAGCCTGATGAGTCATTTCCACATCTGTAAACTTTGACTTTTCCCTAGAATGCACTCTTTAAAATCTGACCAGTGAGGCCAGACCTATTTTGCCCCAGGCAAGCATTTGGAACCCAAATGACAATAAATGTATGATGGGAACTCCTTTCGCTAGTCCAAATGGTATTAAAATTCAGTTTGTTATGAGAAAAGCAAAGTCATGAGAAATGAATTTTGCTCTAAGAATCAGTGAGTATGAAAACACAGGGCCTGCCAAGGGCTCTAATGGTTTCCTTACCCGCAGCTTTTCTTCTGTGTTGGTAGACTGCTTACAGTCGGGATGCCAAACGGTGGAACCTGGAAAGACACAAAGCATTACTCGGCATAAATGAAATGGAAGATGCTACAGTTTGATCAGACAGAACACAGAGGGACAGTCAGTGCCTCCTTCCCATCAGAGAGATAGACCAGAGTCCATGCCAAAGTGAGCCAGGAGGCTCAAAAAATAAACCAAATAGCTCCACAAAGAAAACTCTGGGTAAGTGTCCCTCATCTAGTCTGCGTTGTCTGTAAAGGCCTAATTCCAGACCACAGAAACTGCTGGCTGGCCACAGAGTGTTTTGATTCATATATTTTGTTCCTGACTGGGCTGTTTTAAAAAACCTACACACGTGTATCACTAGTGTGTTTACTACAAACTGTTTTCATTTTAGAAATATGTTGTTGTTGTTGTTAAGTGCCGTTGAGTTGGTTCCGACTCACAGCAACTCTTTATAGGGTTTCCAAGGAGCAGCTGGTGAGCTTGAACTGCCAACCTTGCAGTTCCAAATGGCTTGGCAGTCTGGCGCATTAACCCACAGTGCCACACCAAGACTCCTTCAGAAATATAGGCCATGCTTATTTAACAACAAAACCACCACACAATTTTGTTGAGGGAAATAAGGTTGAAACATGTATCCAGAAGCAAAATTTACTTTATTTTTCACTAATTCAATTACACATAGTTACCTATGTACTAACCAACTTTCAGCGAATTAAAAAAACCTCATACCCTTCAAAGCAGTGATCTGACTACAGGCACACATCCACACATACGTACATGCTGTTTTCATGCCTACATCAACAGTCTCACTTTCTCAGGTAAGAAGCACTTCCTCGGACAGTATTAGCCTCACAGAACTAATAAGACTTGAACCTCCAATTGTTGTTAAGTGTTGTCAAGTTGGTTCCGACCCATGTTGTTTGTTGTTGTTAGGTGTCAGCAAGTCGGTACTGACTCATAGTGTCTTTATGCACAGTAGAACGAAACACTGCCCGATCCTGGGCCAACCTCACAATTGTTGCCACGCTTGAATCCATTGATGTTGCCACTTGGCCAATCCATCTCGTTGGGGGTCTTCCTCTTTTTCTCTGACCCTCCACCTTACCAAACATGGTATCCTTCTCTAGCGACTTGCCCTTCCTGACAATATGTCTGGTGTTTGAGAGATGAAGTTGGCCATCCTGGCCTCCAAGAAGCACTCTGGCTGTACTTCTTCCAACACAGATTTGTTTGTTCTTTTGGCAGCCCATGGCACTTTCAATATTCTCCACCAACACCATTAACTCAAAAGCATCAATTCTTCTACGGTCTTCCTTATTCACTGTCCAGTTTTCACCTGCATGTGAGGTTATTGAAAATACCATGGCTTGGGTCAGGTGCACCTAGCAACCCTATGTAGGGCTTCTGAGGAGTGGCTGGTGAGCTTGAACCGCCAACCTTATGTTCAAATGACTTTGCAGTCCAGTGCATTAACCCACAGCACCATACCAAGACTCCTCCATAGAAAGCTCTTACTGCTGCTGTTAAGGGCTGCTGGTTCCAACTCACAGCAACCCTGCAGAGAGTTTCTGAGGACCAGGTGGTGGGTTTGAACCACCGACCTGGTGGTTGAAAGTCCAGTGCTTATCCTATAGTGCCATACCAGGACTCCAATGTCTGTATGATTTTATAAGGAGTAGCTGGTGAGTTTGAACCACTGACCTTGTGGTTCAAATCAACCTTGTAGCCCAGTGCTTTATCCCATAGCACCACACCATTAGACATGATTACATGTCAGGCTTATCCCTAAATCCTGTGCTTAAATGTAAGAGCAGGCAGGAGAACCTGAAGTATACTTCAAGATACTTAATAGTTACTTAATTAAATGCAGGGAGTGAATTAAATCAATTTTAGAGTAAGAGTCTTAGTGTGTATGGTTAGACTTTCTACCTTTCATTGTTAAAATCTTTACCTCCCTAAACAGCAACCTGAGTGTACTTGAAAACAACTTGTGAATGATTTTATGCCACTGAGCTAAAATAACATTCATGAAGAGGAAAAATATACTTTATAATCAGAATGAGAATTTCATCCCTATTTAACAAGGGTCTCTGCCTTTCTTACCCTGTTGTTGTTGTT